AGCGGCTCCGCGGGCCCGCCGCCGCCGCCGCCCGCCCAGCAGCTGGGCTCGGCCGCCTCAGCCCCCAGGACTTCCACCTCTTCATTTTTAATCAAGGACATTTTGGGCGACAGCAAACCTCTGGCGGCATGTGCACCCTACAGCACCAGCGTCTCCTCCCCGCACCACACCCCGAAGCAGGAGGCCAACGGGGCGCACGAGGGCTTCAGGCCAAAGCTGGAGCCCGAGGACAGCAAAAGCAAACTGGACAAGCGGGAGGACCCCCAGAGCGACATCAAATGCCACGGTGAGTTGCGCCCTCCCAGCCGCCTCGCCTCCCTCCTGCAGGTTGACTTTCTGGCCTTCAGCCGCCGGGCTTTTCTCTGGAGGAGAGTTCTTCCAGGGCTTCCCAGAGACGGGCTCGAAGACTGCCGGGCCGCAGGCTGGACCGGCCGGCTGCACTTGGACAAGTTCTGTTTTTGCTACATTTTCTATTCCTTAAGCTTCACCTCTATCCTTTACGTTTCATTGTAGTTTAAAGGGGCTGTAAGGGCGGGGGTGGGGGGCTACATCAACGACAGAAGGGGTTTGGTGGGTAATACCTAACGATGATAAAAGGGCCAGACTAGAGAGAATTTTCTAGCCCATTCTTTTAGCATGGGGATGTGGGTATGTGGCAGAGAGACTAGGAGCCGGTGGAGTCTAAGGGTGTGATTGCAACCTGCTGTTTATTCTTTAATGCAAATGATTTTACCTTTTCCCAACATAAAATCTGAACATGATAGGAACTATGGGATTGAATGAAGGAACAAATGTCCAAGTTGATTTCCAGAAATACTTAAAAAATAGTCTGTGATTTATATAAAGGGAGTTGTCACTGTAAACATTGATAATCAGTTTTTCACTTAAAAACAAAACCACCCATCTTACACCTAACTCTAACTTATTTGACTCCTAGTTAAAGTTCAAAACAAAGCAAAACAAATCTTTTGGGGGGGGCGTTACAAGTAATTGGAAGTAGGTTTTATGACAGTGAAATGTTATGCAATTGATGTATTTTTGTAAACTCAGAAGTCTAAATCGCCCTTTGACTCCCATTTACCATTTTGCTCTCAGAATGGAGTCTCCTGGTCTGTGCTGGCAAAAGCGTTTCACCATGCCAGGACGGTCCTTTCTTTCATTTACCGTTAGGCTGATTCTTGTTGCTGTTAATAATCCACTCTGTCTCTGGGAGAGATGTGTGCTGTTTGGAAGGGAGGAAGGACACGGGCTCCTCATTTTACTATTTTAGCATTAGCATAATAGTGCCCCAAACAGATGTACAGTCAGGGCTGGCGATTTTTTTGTGCACCAACCTCCCCAGTGGGTCAATTAGAGAGATTATTGTTCTTCCTGCAGGGAAGATCAAGGAGCGCTGCAAAAAACGGGTACAAACAGAGAGGGATTGACATATCGATTTCCCAACGTTTCAGGAAAAAACCCAAAGTTGACAAATAGAATCCGGAAATCTCCGTACTGTCACCTGGATAGGTTTGGTGAATTTGCGCTCCATTCCGCGCATGGGTGACAGATTCTTCCTGCGGCATTGAGAGTCTTGATCCAGAGACCTTGATTCCAAAGGGTCCCAAGTCCATTTGAAAAGGCAAACCGAAACCCAGACCAAAATGCCTATAGCTTTTAGTAACTAATATAGAATTTTTTTAAAGGGTGGGTGGGTGGGAAGCACTTTTCTAAAAAGAGGAGAAAAAAGTAGAAAGACCCTTTGAAAAGTACCAAATGATTTTTTAAAAAGTTAGAGTGAAAACAATAAAGGAAAGGGACATTTTCTCCCCTCACAATCAATGAAACAACCAAAAAAGGACCCTTTATTGAAAATTTGTGTGTGTGCTTTCTTTTTAACTCTCAAGGATGGAAAGATAAGAAACAATCCACACCCCTTTGGTGAAACCCTCTTAGGGTTTCCAAGCAAGGCCCTACATTCCCAAGCCAGAAAATAGTTGTCTTCTTTCATACCAGCTACGGCCCGGCCCAACGCAGTGTGCGGGGTGTGGGTGTGGTGTGGTGGTGGCAGTGGTCGTGGGAGAGTAGAGTCCCCAGAGACTAGTGGTTGGGCTTGGGAATGTGGAAGGGTTTGTAAGTGTCCGTCAGGAGGATGCTATCCTTCCTCGCCTTCAGGCTAATGTGTGGCTCTGGCCTGGTTTCTGTCCTAGGAACAAAGGAGGAAGGAGATCGGGAGATTACGAGTAGTCGAGAAAGTCCCCCTGTGAGAGCCAAGAAGCCTCGAAAAGCCAGGACCGCTTTCTCCGACCATCAGCTCAATCAACTGGAACGCAGCTTTGAGCGGCAGAAATACCTGAGCGTGCAGGACCGCATGGACCTGGCTGCCGCACTCAACCTCACTGATACCCAGGTCAAGACTTGGTATCAGAACCGCAGGTAAGGGAGGCTGTGTGGGTGCATAGGTGCATAGGCAGCCTGTCAGGACTTCCCTGACAGTCTCCTTTGCAGGCTTCAGGGGACTACAGGGCCTGAGACTCAGGGGGCCCAGAGTCAGTGCTCCGGTAGTTGCCTGCTGGAGGTGGGATTATCCGTAACCGGAGTGCTCCCATTTGGGTTTGTTTGCACTTGTAAGTGTCTCTAACAGGTGCTACTTTCCTTCCTAAACCCCAGCCACTAGAATCCCTCATCTTGCCCCAAATCAGTGAAGCCACACTTCTCAAATTGAGACATCCATGCAGCTGACAGGCAGGCCCAAAGAACCCTTTGGGTCTGCCCCAGGCCTGTTCTGAATGTGCACGATCATCCCCGTGCTGCGCGGCTGTGTCCGGGGCCTGTCGGCCCCACAGCCTTCAGCTGAGAATCCTGGCTGGCTGGCAGAGGCCATAGGAGAGGCAGAATTGGAGCTTCAGCCCCAGCCGCCTCTGAGGATGGAAGAATCCAGCAGGACTAGGGGTGGGTCAACAGCTGCAAGTTTCAGAAGTGGGCAGCTGGCCAATATGTGGGTGAGGGGGTGGGGCATATGTCCCTTGTACTGCCCCCTCACTCCCTGCTCTGGATGGGAGAAGGGCACAGCAGAGCCCCACTATAACCTGCTTCTCTGGGAGGAAAATGATGAGGGGCTGGCAGGGCTCACAGGCCCCTGGACTGGCACGCGAACCTGGGCAACTGGAGGCTGAAGTTAGGCTGTCCTGCCAATCCCAGGGCTCACCTCCCAGAGGGCTCGATTTCCCCCTTTTCTCCCGGCCTTTTCTCTCATTGTGTTCTCATCGCCCACAAGTGTGGTTAGAAATGCCCACCCAGTTGTCATCTTTACCATGATTTTCTGTCTCATTACATATGGTTTCAGCCACCCTAATTCTGTCGGAAAACATTAGTGTCATTTGTAGCTAATTTACAATGGGGAACATGTTTATTAATTTGGCTGGAGTGGCCTGGTGTGGACGGCCCACCAGCCCCATTTCTTCCAGGGCATCAGAGCAAACAGCGGCTTGGCCTAGCCCGCTTCTTGCTAGCTGGGGATGGGGAGTGGGGGGTGGGGTGCGGGCCGGAGGAGGAGGAGACTGAGAAAAGCTGATCACAGATTTTGTTACTGTGTCCCAGAGGAAAAAATATATAGCTTGAAATGCCCCCCCCCCCTGTGGCCCCGAGGTACTCACCCCATGGGAGAGCCCTCCCTTAAACGAATTCCATTTGGAAACCTTGTCGCCCTCCTCCCCATAAGCACCCTGCCCTGCTACAAGGTCCTGTCAAACTGATGAGAGAGACGTGATTCCACAGCCCGCCAGGGTGCGTGAGGGGCCAGGGTCCAGGCTCAGGAGGCCCTGCGCCCCTTTGTTTGCAGTTTCTACTCTGGAGCCTGGGGGAGGGGGAGGGGCCGGGAGCCAACCCCCTGGGTGGTTGGGGAAGGCGCCGGAGGAAGGCGAATTAAGGGAAGTGGAATTAAGGGAAGTGGTGGTGGGGGGCAGACAGCTTTGGAAAGATGGGGTTTCCCTTGGCTTCCAGGAAAGTTTTAGGAAGCCGCCAAACTCTAAGGGGGCCCACAGCCCGGCCGGAGAGTCAGGAGAAGGTGGGGAAGCTTTCAGTGGTGAGCCGCTCAGATGTGGAGGGTGAATTGACAAACTCTGGGACTATGGGTGTAGGGCGCCCTGGCCTTCATCTTGACCCCCGCTCCCACGGGGATGAGGTGGGGGAGGGAGAGGAGGCGCAGGGGCCGCGGGGCCTGGGGCGACCGTGCCCGCAGCCCCGGGGGCGGCGTGCCTAACACGCTGTCTTCCAGGACCAAGTGGAAGCGGCAAACGGCGGTGGGCCTGGAGCTGCTGGCCGAAGCCGGCAACTACTCAGCGCTGCAGCGGATGTTCCCGTCGCCCTACTTCTACCACCCCAGCCTGCTGGGCAGCATGGACAGCACCACGGCGGCCGCTGCCGCCGCCGCCATGTACAGCAGCATGTACCGGACTCCGCCGGCGCCCCACCCCCAGCTGCAGCGGCCCCTCGTGCCCCGCGTGCTCATCCACGGCCTGGGGCCCGGAGGGCAGCCGGCCCTCAACCCCTTGTCCAACCCGATCCCTGGCACCCCGCATCCCCGGTGAGGATGGAGCAGCCACGCAGCCGGCCCGTCCTCCCTCCCTCCCAGCCGGACTGGACCGCTGCCCTTCCTCTTCCCGCCCCAGGGCGCCGAGCCCCCAGGGAGGCCGAGAAGAGGACAGGGACGGGGGACAGAAGGGGGCCAGCCCTCGCCCGCTCCGTCTCCCCACACCCAGAGGTAGGCCTGGAAAGCTCTTGGCGAAAACGCTGACCCCACACAAAGCACGACCAGTAAGTGAAAACGCCAACAAAAACAAACCTCAAGTTCTTTCAGAACGTGGCTTTAGGGACACGGGGCCGGGGGAGGGCAGGAGGAGGGCCCAGAGGCGCAGAGGAGCCACCTGGCCTGCGGGAGCTGCAGACACGACAAGGACCGGCCGCCATGGCAGGGGCGTCGTGGACCGGGACATTCGGCCTGCCCCCAAGCAAAGAGGAGGGTGACTGAGAACTTTGCACTGATTCTCATGACCTTTTTTCTTTCGGAAAAGTGGCATGCTCCATAATATGAAAAAAATGTACATTTGAAAGACTGAGTGATAAGTGATATATCATATTTATTATATGTTGTCCAAAAAAAGAGTCACTTATATACGTTAGTAAAAACATGATTTTTCTTTTCATGTCTTTTTTGATTCAGTAAAATAAATGCTTAGACAAAAATATAGATTTTTTTGTGATTGAAAATTTAAAAATAAAAGTTTATCTTTTTTTAACAAGTGATGATATCCAAGGGAGCTGATTTTACTAAAGCAGAATGTATGATAATAAAATAAGTAACTTGGTTTAAGGGAAAAAATAACCCAAAACAATCTTACCAGGCGATTAGGATTTTATAAAACCGGCAAAGAGATTGGCTTTGTATAAAAACAGCCCATTTGTTCACGGTGCCCTCTGCCTAGCCGCTCTTCGGTAAGTTCTTTTATTTTATGTGGATGGTTTCCGGCATCTCGGGAGGGTATCTGGGTTCTACTGTGGCCTGTTGGTAGGGGGTAAATGGGCGGCCAACTCCCCGTGTCCAGCTGGCCTGGGTCCTGAGTTAGCTGCAGTGGAGACCTCTCTGCCTGCCCTGCTTCTTCGTCTTTGGGTCCTCCTGGGAACCTCCAGGGTCAGAAAGGCTGGGCGGGCAGACTATGCTCAGTGGGGCTCGCAGCTGTTCCGCCGCCGCCCGCGGCTGGGTACCCGCGCGGCAGGACAGCCTGAGAGCGGGAGGCTGCCGCGTGCACAATTAGGACGCCCCCAGAGACTCCGAGAGGCCCAGCTAACAAACCCCTGCGCCCTCGATTCTTTCATTCTCGGTTTCCAGCGAGAATCCGCCCCTCCAGCCCCTAGCACAGCCGCTCCTCTGGTGGGTTCCGTTTGCTGCGACGCTTCGAGAGGGAATGCAATGTCGAACTCTGGCCGTGACAGCGGTGCCATCCGTGCCCCTGGATGGCTGGGACCACAAAATGAGAAATCCTGCCCAGAGGGTTGAGGAGCCCTGCTTAAAGAGTGTGTGTGTGATACGTGTGTGAACTACCAAGATGCGACTCCGGGTCGCAGCACCCCACTCCAGGGCAGCCCCCCACTAGGCTTTGTGCTTAGAAAACTCTGGGAGACAACAACTAAGCCTGGTGCTCTCAGTTCAGAGCTTTGCCCCCCTAATCTTGAACCCCAAGGCCACTTCTGGAGTAGCCACAATGGATCCCTCAGCTGGGTGGCCCCACGACTCTATCCTAGTATAAATACAAAAGGAGTTACGACAAGACCTTCCCATCAAGGTCCCCCCCAACAACTTTCTGGGACACTTGAAATTTTTTTTCCAAATGTGGAGTGGCGTGGGATTGCGTCTTGGGGGTGGTGTGATGGCGAGGGATGGGAAGGAAGAAAGCTAAGAGGTGAAATCCGGGAGGAAATTGCCTCAGGCGCCTCGATCAGACCTTGGCTAATTAGGGAGTGGTTTTCGGATTTCTCCCCAGCTCATCAATTTGCTTTTAAAACGGTCTTGGCCGTGTTTGATTCTAAAAGGGTCTGGGTTGGCCTTTCTCATTTTCTGCCGGCTCCACCCCCCTCCAACCTCGGGCGGCTGCCTTGGCTGGAAACTGGGTGCTGCTGTGCCCCGCGGGGTTGCCCATTGCCTTGGCACTCATCTGACTTGCCTTCTTCCATCATAGCTGCTTTGGGGCTTTGCAATCAGGGTTTAAGCCTTTTAAAATTGGTTTATCTGAGCCTAAAAAGGCCCCATGCAAGTCGTGGGGGGAGAATGAGGGAGGGAAGTGCGCAAGCTTCTGCTTGTCCTGGTTCTTGGGGCTGGCAGCTCCAGGCCCTTGGAGGTGGGCTGGGAGGTTGCTAGAGTTCATATATCCAAACTCCACACAAAAGAATAACCTCAGTTTTCGTTGGGAATAAATACACAAGCTCCCCAATCCAAAGATAGCCACAGCACTGTTGGCCAAATCTAGCAGCCTGCCAGCAACCAGTCAGCCCTTCGCTGGGGAGGCCTTCAGCTGCTGCTTTGCTTTTAAGGCTGTATCTCGACTCCTCAGATGAACAGCATTCTATCTCTAGAGAGCAGTGTTCCCAGATCAACTTCTTCCTCCATTGTGAAAAGCAACGACTCTGGATTGACTCTAATTCCCCTGCAGCCCCCATCCTAGCTGTTGCCCACAGGTTGCAAATTGGACGGTGGGAAGAGTGTCCTATGGAAAAAGTACGGGCTTCCTGCTTTTCTTTCATCAAGGACACCTCAGTAGGTGAAGGGTATTCAAATATTACCAAATTTATTTCCACCTTATGGGATCATTCAGCTCTTCTAAGTCAGCCAAACAACTCGGGCGGGGGTGGTGGGGCTGGAGAGCAGATGAGGGGAGGAACTCAGGTTTTTGAGAAGTAACAAAACACAGTAACAGGCATCATCTGGCTGCTTCTCCCAGGAGATCCAGCCTTAGTTCTGGAGACTCCTCGGGATGGCTGTCCCTGGGAATTGCACTCCGTATTCTCCCACCTCCAGCGGGCCTCTGAAGGGCACTTCAGCGCTCAACTCCGTTTGGATTGCTCCTTTGATGAAGTTGGGGCTGCCAAAACCGGAACTTTCAATATCAGTTTTGGCTTGATACAGAAACACAGGAAAACAAACTTGTTTCAGAGAGATGTTTAAAAAGCCCCAGAGGCCCCTGAGATTTGCCCGCCTCAAGATCAGCTCAGGGACCCCTGCAAACCCAGCACCAATCCGTAGTGAGTTTGAAGGCGGAGGTTAACACACCCGCCAGCAGCCAGCTGTTTCAGCCCAAGCCAGTGAGATTCTCAATGAGTTGCAAAGTAATGATAGTGGCTTGGCTCCATGCCGCCAGCAGATATACCTACCACCCTGCATCAGTTTATTTTTGCTCCACCCCTTAAAATGCAAACCTGCACGATGGCAAATTAGACAGCAGATTTTCACGGTTGCAAAAAACCAAAAAACAAAAAAACGTTTACCCTCAAACGAAGCCTTCCCTTCCTTCTTCCCTCCGTGCCATCTGACTCCTGCCTAGGCAGTCTTTCCCCTGGAGTCTGCCGGATCCCACCTCCTTCTTTGAACAAAAGGCTTAGGAGTAGTTTGTTTTGTTTTATTTTTAACTTTCTAAAAATATTTGGAAAAGCTCTCCCCAGGGCAAGGGAAACTTTAGTTCCTGTTAAGCCCCAGCCACGTGGTTCCAAACACATCCTGGATGAGAGCGGCTTCATTTTCTAAGAAGCCTGGCAGAGCTGGAAGTCAGCATGCTTGGAAAGAGGCTGGTGGGCACATTGAGGGGCAGGGCTGAGCCTCGGAGTGAAGGGACGGATCCTCCTCGGCCTCAGCCTTGCCAAGGGAGAGCTTGCCTCTTACCACGGCCTTTGGAGAGAAAGAGACAAGAGACAGGTGGATGGGTGAGTGCAGGGCTGATTGGAGGGTTTCCCGGTGGGGCCCAGGACAGGTCCCCAAGCTTCTAGGTCTTTGTCTGATCCCACTTCCTCCCTCTCGCACTTCCTGTAGCTTTCCCCTCTGCCTCTTTTCGCCTCTGGCGTTGGGACTTCCTGCCTGGGTCTAGAGCCCCCTCCCAGCTTCCCTCTGCCAAGTGACAGACCCGCAGCAGGACTGGGTAGGAGTGTTGCGTGGAGCTGAGAGGCGCTCTCTGAGAAAGGGACAGTCGCCGGCCTCTTAGATTGGAGAGCCAGGTCTGGGGTGAAGCGATGACCAGAAGGGCGTCAGTTTCCTTCTTCCTACAGGGTCTCTGAGGCTCGCGCCAGGCTCAGTGTTGCTGGGCGGACCTTTCTGGCACTCCTGTACTTTCCTCTTGCCCTGGGTCCGCCTCGCCCGGGTTCTCGGTCCTAGCACCACAGACAGCTCCCAGGGTGCGTGGCAGAGCGAGGTGCCTGGCCCCGGAGGATCCAGTGGAGGCCTGGGTGACTGCAGGGGGCGCGCGGGGGACAGATTCCGCAGATCCAGCAGGGGAGGTCAGAGCGCGGGTTACAAACGCCCTCTCCGGCAGGCAGGGCTCCAAAGGACTGAATCTTCATTCAGATCAATCAACCCGTGACCATATAGTTATTTCCACTCTAAGCGGCCCGACAGGACACAGAAGTGTCCCATAAGCGGTACGGGGCTGCAGGCTTAGAGAAGCCCACGGCTGCAACGTTCTCCCACAGAGCGCCTGGTGGGTTCGAACTGCTGCCCTTTCAGCTGGCAGCAGAGCGCTTCACCACATTGCACAGAGTGGAGCGATCAGATGAATAAAAGTAGTTAATAAACCGAAAGATCTGGGGTAAGTAGTGGTCAGTGGCAGATCTACTCTAAATCATCCCTATTTCGTAAGTTCTTAGCGGAAGCCGACTGGGGAGGAGCCGCTGTCCTGGCGGTGAGACGGCCTCTGGAAGGCTCTACACCGCGCGCTGTACTTCCCGGGAGCGCTGCTCCAAGCACGCAGTGGCCTGCCCAGGTGCGGGCCCAGCGCCAGCTCCCATTTCCCCGCCCCCTCCGCCCGGGGTGCCCACTCCACCGTCTTGCCCCACTGGCTGAGCTCCAGCTTTCCTGCCGGTGAAGGAGAAGGACTTTTCGAAGTCGGAGGGAATGAACTTGAGTGAACATAAAAGGGCCTGGGCACTTTGTTCTGGTAACAGACGCCTCCATCTCCAGCTGCCTGACTCCATTCTTCAGCGCAGAGGCCCTCAGTGTGGCAGTCTGTTCTCCTGACTGCTCTTAAGGATTCCCTTGCCGCGCAGGGTGGAGGCAGAGTCTTGGCGTCTTGACCCCAAGCCCCATTGCATCTCTAGCTCCATGCACATGGGAACCCAGGAACATTAGGTAGCCCCCCAAGCTCCTCAGCCTCCCCCCCCCCACCGCCCCCAATTCCTGGTCTCCCCTCCCAGGGACAGCATTGCAGCCACAAGTTTCAGACAGAGTTTTAGGGCGAGCTGGGCAAGAGATCAAGACAGGAATATAAACACTTTCACTGAAAGCGGGCCAGAGACTTCACAAGACAAAACCTTTCTCATAACATCTCATGAAAAGATAAAATAATTGACCAAGTAAGAGCTCTTATCTACACCCTGCCTTGAAGAGCCCCCTCCCCTTCCCTCTACCTCAAAAAAGGGAGAGGCTTCAGGCTGTAACTACCTCTTTCTG